AGAAGCGTATGTAGTATTAAAAAACCAGTTACAAAAATGGGTTTAATAATAAACAGCAACAAAACGAAGAATATAAAAATAAGCACGCAACCACAAATACTACGACCTCTTGTTGTAGAAAACGACGTCATCCAAGCAGAGAACGAATTTGTGTACCAGGGAATGCTTCTTAACACTGAAAATAATACTACCACAGAGATAAACCGCAGAACGTGTACAGTCAACAGATGATATTTTGGGCTCAATCTCCTCCTTAAATTCACAATTATATAGAGAAATACAAAAAAAAACTCTACAAAATAATAATACGACCAGTCCTAAAACAGGGTTCAGAGACCTAGACTCTAACAAACAATAATAAAAAAAATGTTTGGAAAGAAAAGTACTAAGGCGAATGTATGGAGCAGTGAATGACAATGGAATGTAGAGAAGACGACATAACTTCGAACTTGATAGAATATATTGGGAACGTGATATTGTAAAAGATTAAGATAGGACGTCTGAGGTGGATAGGGCATGTAATGCGGATGGAACAAAATGACCAAGCTAGAAAAATGTGCCTTGATAGACCCAATGGTCAGAGAAGAAGAGGAAGAGCCAGAACAAGGTTTCTTAATAACATCGATAAAAACATGAGAAATATGGATATACGTTCTTGGCGGAGAAAGGCGATGGATAGGAACGACTTAGGATAGCAAGTACTTTTACAGATAGTTTTTTAATGGCTAATGTAATTTATTTAGAAAGTCAAGCAATTTGCAATATATTATTTATTGTGCATCTTTAATTATTTTTTACCCAGATTCCATAACTTTCGTACCAATATTAAAGTATACAAATTTTAACTCTTTTAAATTGTTTATTTTCTCCAAAATTTTCGTTATATTTCACAAACGGTTTACACAAAAATCATCAATACACACAATCTATAACCGTTTTTTCCTTTTTTTTTATTCATTTAAAAGAATTTCACGAAAGTGTGCACAAATAACGATGAGGAATTTAAAAGTTCTTTTATTTACGTAATCCGGTATCAGAAAAGCGAACGAAATTTTTGATTTGGAAAAAAGTCTCTGTATAAAGAGATCTTTTGTTGAAGTTTTTATTACATTTTATTAAAAAGTACAGTCGGTTTAGCTTTGTGTACCCTTTTTGATTTTTAAATATTGACTGGCTGAAAAGATATAGAAAGTTTTATGACAAACGTCTACAAACTTTTTCTCCTTTTTAAATAAGATAAAGGAGAAAAAGGTAACAACAACTGGTTTGTAGATTTAAAATAAAAGATTTTTCTCACAATACAATTGTGGCTCTATCTGATATTATTTAAAAAAATATATAGTAATTATGTACTGTTTTATTTATTAAAAAATAGTGCTAATCAACATCAATAATATCCCGTCTACCTAAGAACAGCTTTAGTCTCTTTCAAAGCGAAACTAGCTTATTTTTTATTTCTACACAGAGTTTTTCTAAGGTATAGAGCTTGATATATTTCTCTTATCTCCCCAGTTTAATTAATATTGGTTTTGTAAATTAAGTCTGTGATATTCGATATATATTAATTGTTACCTTTTTACTTTTAACACTCTTATCCTGATGCTTGGCCTAATGGTTGCCGGTGTAAGCAATCCTTTACTAACTGGCCAATGGCTTAAACATGGATGATTAGTAAGTGGCAAGGGCACTTTTTTATTTTGTGATTAAGAAATTGGCCACGAAGGCGGAAAAAACTGAGCTTGTGGTTTACAACATAAGGATAAAGAAAGCAACATGGAACCACTTTCTTAAAGACTCTTAGAGATGCAAGGGATAGTAATGTGTAACGTATAGTCTCTTCTATCCAAATGTCAACCTCACCTGTCCGCATGATGATCTTGATTATGGTCATCCGGTGCATCCTGTTAGATGACAAATGAGGCTCTGACGTTTGAGTGATTGCCGATATAAACAATCCTCCACTTACTGACCAACGGCTTAGGGCAGATGAGTTAGTTAGTGATAGGGCTGTCCTGGGGTTTAGAAACCGGTCCCGAAGGCGGATGAACATAAGAATGCAAAAAGCAAAGGGGAACCACTGCATTAACGGCTCATGAAAAACGGAGGCTCAGATTCGGCAGGTGAGAAGAAACATATTTATACCACGAGACCTATCAGGTCGTTAACATGCAAAAACTTCGTGAATAAATCCTAAAAATAAAAAAATCTAATTTTAGATTGTGCACATGCAATGTTAGAAGTCTATTTGCGGCTGGAAAAATTAACCCAATTTAAGAAATGAAAATAATGAAAATAGACCTACTAGAGATCAGCAAAATGAGATGGCCAGAGTCAGGATCATGTAAAAAGGACGGAAGTGTATTACATTATTCCGGTAACAGCAAAGAAGACGTGCATTACAAAAATGGTGTAACGTAAAATATTAGTAACATCAGAACTGACTAAATATGTGATCAATTTTGTACCAGTATCGGATAGACTGATATTACTCCAAATAAGTACTCAATCAACCAAACTAACATACTTCAAATCTATGCCCCGACTGCAGAGAAAAAAATATGACGATAAAGTCGAGAAGTTGTATGATCAAATCCAAGACATCTTATAGAAACTTAATAAACACGAAATTTTATATATTATAGGCGATTTCAATGCAAAAATTGCGGAAGGTCTAGGCTGTATGATCTAGGACAACCTAAAAATCGAGAACAGAGATTATATGAATTTAGTAAAGAAAACGATATGATTATTATAAACACCTGGTATAAACTACCCAAGCGACGACTATACACTTGTAAAGCCTCATTTGGTGATGGCAATAATCCTGACACCTCAAGAAATCAAATAGACTATATACTTGTAAATGAGCGTTTCCGAAATGCTGTCAAAAAAGTCACTACATTTCCTGGAGCAGATATTGAATCTGATAATTAATCACTTGTAGCAGATATTAGACTAAGGTTAAAACGAATTAAGCCACAAAAACCAAAAACCAATTTACTTAACTTTGACGATATAAACATAAACCATAACATTTAAAAAGAATTTAACAATAGAATAAGAAACATCGGAGAAAAACTGAAAGATCCAGAAGAACTATGGAGTGAATTTAAAAACCAAGTTAACGAAATCTCCACAAACGATGATTATAGAAAAAACTTAATCAAGAAAAAATAAATGGACAACAGACGACATCTAGAAATTAATCTTACAACGTCGACTGATAAAATTTAATGAAAGAGAATATAGACACCTGCAGAGAAGAATTAATAAGGAGATCAAATTAGCCAATGAAAAATGGATGATAGCAAGGTGTGACGAAATGGAGGATGTAATATCTAAACACGACTTATTTAATATGCACAAAAAATTATTGTAAATGAGCACGAAATAAGAAAATAATGGCAGCTGCATATATCAGAGTTGTTTGAAGATGACAGGAATTAATATTGCCGAATTCGCCGTAGTAAAACTGTACTGACGGCCCAGAAATTATGAAATGCAAGGTAGAACACGCAGATCCAGATGATACACCAACTGAGTTGCTGAAACTAATAGAGGATGATAACATAAAAGTAGTAGTAAGACTTTTTAATTCAATATAAGTGTAACACCGGAGTGATTCCCACAGATTGGCTCAAATCCATCTTTGTCGCTATACCTAAAAAACACAATGCCAGAAAATGCTCAGAATATCGATTAGTTAGCCTAATGAGTAACACTCATTTAAAATTTAAAATTTTTTTAAAAATATTGTTCTGAAGCTATTTTCTTGTGGCATTGTAAATTAATTACTATTTATAACTGGGAATAAGCCACATTAAAGATAAAAATACATTAATTGACGTTTCATATTTCCAATTCGGAAATCGTTTTCTTTTTCGGAAATCCATTTCGGAAACGATTTCCGAATTGGAAATTGAAACGTCAATAAATGTATTTTTATCTTTAATGTGGCTTATTCCCAGTTATAAATAGTATTTTTTTTAAAAAATACTTTACAACAGAATTAGACGCAAATGTAAAGAAGATCTCTAAGATACCGAGATAGATAGATATTTGGTTTTAGAAATGCTATGAGAAAAAGGGAGGCACTTTTTGCGCTTAACATTCTAAGGAAACTCCTGGCAAAATAACTGCACTTCCATTTATTGTGTTCCACTTATTTGTGTATTATTTCACTAATAATCCAGCAGTGTTTTGGATTAGTCAAAATACAAGAAAGCAGAGTTAATCTTCCTGACTTCGTTTCATATCCTACATATTCCGGAAAATTGCCTATTAATCATAAAAAATTAAAGACTGCTGATGTGTATTCCAGTACAAAAAAAGGAATATTGGTCCCAGATTGTCACATGGCCTACAACAGAGCAAGCTAAACCAGTAGAAGAGGATTTCTAATTATTGTATAGTTTATTAGTTGTTTTTTTCAAAATTTTTTTTTCATTATATTTGAATTTAACTGAAATAAAATAATAATTGGTCTATATTTTATTAGACTCACACACATTTGATTCGAAAAGGTAACATATGCAAAATATTTAAACAAACATTCTATTGTATAAGGTACTTTAAGCAATTGACAACCATGGCATTGTGCAAACAACACATCCACTATAAACTCATATATTTGAAAGATTTTTGTAACTACATCATTCTTGAAGAAAATCAGTTTTTTTGTTTTCTTGTAAACTTTACACTTATGTACATGTTTCAAAATAAGTGATTCAATTGTATTTCAGTTTAGTTAACTCTAAAATAGGATTTTGTACAGAATAAATAAATAAACAAATAAATAAATAGTGCAATATGTAGTGTAAATAAATTAAAAACTAAGTTTCATTTCCCGTTACAACACATTTCGTAACTTACAAGTTAAACCCCCTTTAATCAAACAAACGGTTCTATTTTACTGACAACTCCCATACTTTGATCTCCGACATCGCTAAAAACCGCCCCATACAAACAATCTTCTGTGACTATCTCAAATGGCTACTTACTACTCGTATGGAACTTCTTGAGTGGGTCAACAATGGCGAAAAAGCGATCTGCCGACAAAGCGGTGAGTGTGAACACTGAAACTCCGATAGATATGTCTTTTGCAAACTCGGAAAGTTTGCATATCAGCTCGCCCCACGGCCACGACTCCATTGTATACACAATCGATGTGAATGGCACGCTTGTTAAAATCACTAGGAGATCTGCTAATGCCAGCGAGAGGATGTACCTGAAAGCAATAAACAATTATTGGAGTATGTATGTTATCTATTAGAGATACTGAGAGGGAACATGGTATTATATTAGACAATATAATTAGCAGATAATGTGAACAAATTAATTAAAATTACGAAAAAAAGAAAACGTTAAGAAAAGACTAAATAACATGAAAAAATTTTTAACAAAATATTTTTTTTATTTGAATTAATGCGTCTCGACGACGAGGTCATTGACAAGATGAACAGCATAATACAATATAAAGGTATTAAAAATACAGTTTTACATTTGGCAATAAAGAGTACATAATACTTATTTTTATAAATGTCTGCACTTGAATGTCTTTTAAATATTTAAACAGACTTGCATATTTCGCAGTTTCATTCAATATTTCTTGTACAGTACCTCATAATTGGTGTTGTTTTCTATTAGTAGAAAGATGAGGACCTTCTAAGAAAATGCGTGACGGTTAAGGGACTACTGCAATTGCCGCATGCAGGTGGATCGGTAGATACCATGAGAAAGCAATGTGTACGCCGATTGTGTCCAATTCTTAATCTTCTTAGAATAACCTTGTATCTTCTGGATATAGGTGGTAGGTAGCAAGGAAGGTATAACTGGTTGTATATCGTATAAATGACTTGGAGTTTTATTCCAATTGGCTTGCCATTTGTTATATATACGCTTTCGTAACATTTTTTTGATTAATTAAGCAGCTGGATATTTGATATAGGTATATCCAAAATATAAGCTTCTTTTGCGGCTACATCTGCAGCCTCATTTCCTACAACTCTTACATGTAAAGGTACTCTGACAATAGAGACAATTACTCCATGGTCCGTAAGTTTATTATATATGTCATGTATTAAATTTACCAGAGGATCATCTAAGATCATGTTTTTAATTACTTGTATTAATGATAAGAAGTCTATATTGCCGTTAATTGGTTCCAACATATGAAAAGCCTTGACCATACCATACAGTTCTTCAGTGTATACACTACAAACGGCAGGAAGCCTGATAAGTTTTGTAGTGCTGAAAAAGAAAACAACAGCACTATCCACCCTACATCATTTTTAGAGGCATCTGTATAAAGAACTTTATGAAACTAATTTCGATTAAGTATGTCTAGAATTAATTGCTTAATTATACCTTTGGGGGTATCATGTTTATTGAAAGAAGAAAGGGAGGTATTGACATTCGGAAGTTGCTTATGCCACGGAGGATGTGTGGTAATATGAAAGGGTGAAGGGTGCAGCAAGATCAAAACCGTCTAGAATAGAATTTAGTATACAAGAGAGAGGTTCTGTAGCCCTAGTGGTCTAAGAATAATGAATGAGATTATTCAGATGAATTAGTAGTTAGTAGGCTGGATTTTGTGAATTGACTTAACCAGCGTGGCGGTTTGTTAGCTTCACAGTACAGGCTTCTTCATCAATCTCGATCAAACAATAAATTAAACATTTTATTATGGAAAGTTATATAACAGACTGTACTCAAGCTATAGAAATTAAAGTGTGCTCATTACCTTACGAAATAACAATTGCAGCAGTATATTGCCCTCCAAAGCACAATATTAAAAAAATACCAATACCAACATTAACACCAACGTACTGGCCAACGGACCAAAAAAAGACCAGACCTCTTGAATTTTTGCATCATAAAAGGAATATCTAACATCTAACACTAAAAATATGTAACACAACTTAATAGATACGACCATCCAATATTGTAACCGATCAAATCATCCTAAAAATTTCCAGCAATATCGCCACCAGTAAGAAAAATCACAGACACATAGAACCAATGGATAAGAAGCGATAAAAAAATCAGATTAATTTGCTGAACATTTAGCAACAGTATTCTAACCACACAACAATGAAGAAGATCAAGAAATTATTAATTATTTAAACTTAGAACAACCATCAATAAATCCAATAAAATTAACAACACTCAAAGAACTTAAATAAGAAACCTTAAGACTAAATATCAAATAGTTACCAGGAATTGACCTAATAACATCAAAAATGCTAAAAGAGTTACCAAAAAAGGGTATAGTAATCCTTACATATATATTTAACGCAATATTAAGATGTAGTTATTGGCTTAAGAATCTAAAAATTGCTGAAATATTTTTATTTTCAAAACCAGGAAAGGATCCAAGTGAAGTCTCATATTATCGACCTATCAGTCTGTTATCAACAATCTTCAAATTACTAGAAAAAATTGGATACCAAATTATCAGTTTCGATTTAGACGAGAACACTCAACTATCCAGCAATGCCACCGAATAACCGATAAAGTCAATTACACATTAGAAGAAAAGGAGTATTGTCCAATGGTATCACTAGATGTACGTCAAGCTTTTGATAAGGTTTGCCATAAAGGACTTCTTTATAAAATTAAACAAATATTACCACCACTCTTTCGAATACGTACATCATACTTGGAAACCCGACAGTTTTGAACAAAAGTAAATGGAGAAATGTCTTAAATGTATTCCAATAAGGCGGGAATTCTACAGGGTATCGTCCTGGGCCATTTATTATATACTTCTGATCTATAAACTCCACATAAAGTAACAATTGGCACATTTGCAGATGACACAGTAGCACTTACAAGTCATAAACACATTAACCTAGCTACACAACAACTCCAAGACTATTTGTATAAGCTTGAAAACTGGCTAAAACAATGGAAAATAAAAACAAATGAAAACAAGTCAGCACACGTAACTTTTACTTTACGATGAAAAACACCACCACCAATATATATTAAAAATGAGGAAATATCTAGGACTAAAACAGCCAAATACCTAGGGCTACACCTGTACCAAACCCTGTGTTGAAAAGAACACATCACCAAAAAAAGAAAACAAATACAACTAAGACACAAAGAAATTAATTGGGTAATTGGAAAAAAGTTTAAGCTGTCAATAAATAATAAAATTTTAATTTATAAAACAGTTCTTAAACCAATATGGACATATGGCATAGAGCTGTGTGGTTGTAGTTGTAAATCTAATATTGCTATTATAAATGATGCCAATCAAAAATCTTAAGAGCAATTGTTGATGCACCCAGGTACGTAACCAACCAAAGAGTCTATGAGGATCTCAATATCTCAACAGTGAAAGAAGTATACCAGCAAAAGAAATTACAATACATTCAAAAAGTGATCGCACACTCCATTCCATTAATTTCCGCAATATTTCAACATCGAGTTATCAGAAGATTAAAGCGACGTTGGCCAGCAGACCAGTAACATGGACCCGTGATTCTCTCACTGGATGGGACCTCATCACGCCAGAACCAAGGAACAGGACCTAAACTCATCACATTAACTTATATAAATACATTGTTTTATTCTGATTGTTAAGTTATTAGTTATAATAAAAAAAAAGGAAATGGGGTGAAAAGGATGTTGCTCTTTGCGAAGTTTGTGTTTTTTACGTTTTTCTTTTATATTTTATTAAAATACAACAAATTTTGTACGTTGATTAAACAAATTTAAAAATTATTATTATTTGTACATTCTTGATTATTTTATAACTTCTCAGTTTACAAATTGCAATTATACTCAGCAAATACCTCGAAACATCCTCGGTGTGTACGCTATATGTCTTCATTTTCTATCAAATTAGCCCCGAACAGTGTTAAATGATTTCTTTTTTTCCCATGCACTTAATTAAATTTGTTTCTGTGGTGAATCCTAAGTGACCTACTTCGGCGGACTTATAAAAATGTCAGGCATGTGCAATGCTTTGGAAGATTCGCAAAATAGGGTTTTAGTCCCACTTGGTTTCAACAGAAAAAGTTTTTTTTTTTTTAATGAAGGAAAAAAGTTTATTTAGAAGACAGCTGACTTGGGGGATTATGTCTTTGCCTGAAAGTTTATACTCACAATACAATAAATTTTTTTATTTATATTAAAGTTAAGAAGAATAACTAGAAAGATAAAAATAAATGAAAATGCCAATTAAATATATAAATCGTATGATATACGGTATGTAATTGACGAAATGGAATAAAAAGTAAGTTGGAAAAAAAATTAATAAAATATTTTAAATCAAAACAAGTTTTTTTAATGTTTTTACTCAATTTTTGTCGTAGCTGCATGGCAGCCAATATCTGTACGGAGAGAAAGGCAACCATGCGCTGTTTCAAGTTAATTCAAGTTTCAAGTTAACACGTGAAACGGTGCTCGAAGTTAGAGGTTATATCTCATAGTAAAAACGTTTTTTATGGCGAGAAAAAATTGAATATTGTATTATGGTATTAGATATCTGCTTAGATAAGTACTAAAAATTAAGAATGTTGAAAGTCTCTCAAAAACCCTAAGAAGAGTTTGTGCTATATATGGCATACAATGAAGTTATGGTCTCATTGATTATTTTTGTAGATATGGATCCGAAACTCTTTTATAGTACAATGAATGCAGTTATAATTTCAAATAGTACTAATACTGAAGAATCAGATCTCTCTGATGAAGACGGCATAAATGAGTTGATATTGTGTCAATACACAGGAAGGTCAGGATAGGATGACAGGACAGTGACAATGAGGAGCGTAAAAATTTACCAAGCAATGTCAAGCAAACTGTCATTTCTGCCACATCCTCATATTCCTCAGATGATGATACCCCTTTGTCTGAAAGACTACGATATAAAAGGAAGAAATCGCATAATTGGGTGAAACAAAATCTAAGAAGATCACAAAGAAAATTTACTGGTTGTGAAAATTTATCTTCTTCGCTTTTACAATTAAAAACTCCGGTCCAACTTTTTATGAGAGTTTTCTAGAGCATATCACAAACCAATCAAATTTATACTCAGTGCAACAACGTCCAGATAAACCAGCTAATATAAAAAAAATATCAAATACAACAATTATAGGAATTACTATTTACATGTTGATAATTCAACTTCCAACTTACAG